AGCGCTGGCCAGTGAGTGAGGGACAGCTGTGCACACAGAAGTCCACCCACCCACTCCCCCAGAGCACCTGGCCCAGCTGTTACCCCTCATCATTCTTTTATAAAAAGCTCCAAGGTGCAACCATGCTCCCAGGTTTATCCAAGTAGTTGGAGAACACCTCAGCTGGCTCTCTGCAGACCACCACTCATGTCTGCTTCCAGCCTGAATGCTTACGCTTTGACTGACAACTACTTAGCCAAAAAGCCTTCCTTTCTGGGTTAGGACTTGGACCGGAAACAAATGCACTCATGTCAACCTCAGTTGACAAAGGCCAAATGAGCTAGTGTAGACCCTCCCCTAACTAGGGAGGCACACGCAACAGAAAGCTGGATGCCCAGGATAGAGCCACAAACCCACGAGGGTCACCTCTCTGACATCTGAGAGTTTCACTTGCTTTTGCAAATCCTCTTGTCCATTTTCAACAAAGCGACAAGTAATCATCTGACAGCCTGTCCCTCGATGCCAGCTAGGAGATCCTCTATTACCTTGGGAATTGCCGAAGACTGACTACAGTTCAATAATTAATTTTATTTAACGTAGCCCAATTACTTCACAATGGCCTCCAAGCACGTTGTCTATGATAACTGCTACGTTATTAGTTGGAATATGTGCTTGAAAATCAGAACTTTCTTGTTTCCAGTCATCGGGAGAATAGAAACTTCACAATACATCAAAGAAAGAAGGTTTTCTTATAAATAACACATTTTCAGTAGAAATTCAGAGAGATACATATCGAATGAAATGTTGGTATGACCAGACCGTCCTTTCAAGTGTTAAAGTTCAGCCAATCTCAAATCAGGAGATTCCTGACAATCACAATTGAATGGTCTAAGCCTTGTGATTAAAGGCTGTACAAAGTCCCCCTTCCTGCAAGCTCTCGAAGAACAAAATACCAGTGGGAAGGCATCTGGGAAGGCTGACGCTCAACAGAACGAAACAGAATTAATTTTAAAAAGACCACAGAAAAGAGGGGAAAACACAGGGGCTTGGGCCGCCTGGGTGGAGCGGGAATGTGGGTGAGGATGAGCAGATTACGCAGAACAGGAGGCAGGACCGGAGTTCACCAAAGGTCTGAGGCACAGAACCCAGGAGGGAGGGGCTTGGAGGGTTTAAGAGGGAGGGAAAGAGACACATTTGGTTTCTTTCTCCACATTTCTACGCTGAGTGCACCACCACGCTCCATATGCAGTGCAAGGCCGTGAACTCACACTGGGGCACGGGTAAGGTGACTGGGGACTCACCGGCCGTTGTCGCGGCCCACGCCCCACACACGGATGCTCACGATGGGCTGAGAGTGCAGCACGGTGCGGTCCATGGGGTCCACCAGGCTGAGCGTGTCGTTCTCCAGGATCAGGTACATGTCCTTCCCCTGGGAGTCAACGAGAAAACATGCTGTCCTCCCCAGGCAGGCGCCACGTCCTCAGCCCGTCTATGGCCAGCAGGGGGCGCCGTTTCAACCATCTAAAGAAGCCATCTTTTGGGGTAGTTTGTTTACTAAGACAGAAACATCCTTTCCGGACTAAAATATTCATAAACCCTTCACATTTCCTCTCACATGCCCAGTTTCTCTCTCCCTCTCCAAGTCTTCCAAAATGTGTCCCTAGCCTGCTTTTAGACTGCTTGTATTTTTAATTATTTACTCTCTGAATCTTTGACAGGGTTAACAGGGTTCCCTGGAGAATCTGGTCTTTTGCTAACTTCAGGTCCTGGAACTCCCACAGCCCCTTCCTCCCCAGTCCTCTGGACAGGCCCTTCCATGCCCATCACATTCTATGCAGCACCCTATCTGCGTGATCTGGCTGGAACACAGCAGGCACAGTTTGTGGCATTTCTCAGCACTAACAGCTAACATCGATGTGACTGTTTATTATGTCTAAGGCATCATGCCATGTGCTCTAAATTGCCCCAGGGGAGCTTTGGTTGTTGTTATCGCCAGTTAGCAAGTGGGGAAACTGAGGCTTAAAGGTTAAGTAACTTGCTCCAGGTCTGACCCAGCCCCTGTGGCAGGTGTAATGCCAACATGGGGAATGCTGACGTTCCTTCTCCCTTGCATTGCTACTCAGGCTCTTAGGCTTACAGGCCCCGTCTCCCCACATATGTTGGCTCTCTGAGGACCAGAACGCTAGACCCCTCAACCCTACTGCCCCGCTAATCATGGAGGCACAATTTCAAGACATCACTAAACATCTGTTGCTCAGCTGAAAGACTGTCCCTCCTGGTGGTGGCCCAGATGCCGTGGCACGGAAGCCAAAGAACAAGCTGGGCAGAACAGTGAGGCTTCTTGTAGGTCTTCAGATCTCAAGTGAGACAGATAAATTGTGCCTTCAGTATGGTTTTCATTTTGCTTTTTAGAGATGGGGCCTCTCTCTATCGCCCAGGCTGGAGTGCAGTAGCATGATCATAAGCAATTCTTCTGCCTCAGCCTCCTGAGTAGTGGAGAATACAGGTTTGCACTATTACTTGGCTAATATAAAAAAAAATTTTAGAGAGGGGGGTCTTGCTCTGATGCCCAAGCTATTTTCAATCCCTTGGCTTAAGCAATCCTCCCCCATATGGCCTCCCAAAGCAATGGGATTACAGGTGTGAGCCACTGTGCCAGGCTTAGCATACCCTTTGAGAATGTTGTTTTAGAATCTCATGAGGTTCTCAGAATGAGCGCAGCGCCAGTGATCAGTGTAGCAAGGATGATATATCCCAGCCAATGGTGCAACTGTGGCCAGAGTCTTCAACTAAGATCTAGTATGATTTCAAATCTTCCCCCAAAGAGCAGCTAAGACATTTACAGATGAGAGTGCTGGCAGGAATTACAACTTGCACAGACTGTTGTGGCTACACAGACTCCACAGAGCCTGGAGCAGCAGGCTGCAGGTTGCCTCAGACCTATGGCACCTCGAAATGTTAGCCATTCACATGTTAGTAAAAATGACAACAACCTTCCTTCTAAATCCTAACTGAGAATTGTTCTTTTGGAGGAGCAGCATTTGTGACTAAGAAGAAAGAACACAGGTGAACAACTCCGGAGGAAAAATGACCTGGTTATTAGGGTGGGAGGATGGTAAAGCGGCCTTTCTTAGGAGAAGATTCTTTCCAGCTCCCCCACCTGCCTGGGATCTAAGAGTCTGGTCGGCAATTCACTTCAGCACCATTTTAGGGTAGACAGACTCCACCTTGGAAGGGTCTAGGGACGCACCTCCCATTGTGGCATGCCGCTGGGAGGAAACTGCCCAGTCAAAAGGCAAACTTTCCCAGCAGCACTGTGTTAACTGGGGACGGAGGGAACGGAATATAGGCAGAGTAAGTGCCTTTCCCAGACGCTCCCAACATGCCTGTTCTACAGGCCTCAGGGCACAGGAGCAATGCAGCTTCGCCAGATTTGTATACAAATTTGGTGTTTGTACTTACCACTTTCTCTCCTAAATTAACATTTCAAAATGGAATCACTTTGTCGAAAATGAGAAAGAATATATAGGGATCTATTCCCCAACTCACATAGAGTGTTGATGCTCAGACTGTAAATGAAGATGAGTGTGTGCCAGCGTTTTAGAGCAGGAGGAGCTGTGCGTTTACGTGTACGTGTGTGGAAGTCACCTTGCCTTTCAGACTACGCTGCATCTTCTTATAGACAGACACATCGACTCTGCCACTGTGTTCAGGGAAATCCTGAGCCCCTCATGTTTAGCCATGGATACTGAAAACCAGGTCATCATTTAGGTGCTGAGAAATGAAACCCTGGTCCCCATCCCTGTGATCTGGTAATGCCGAGAGGCCAAACGTGGGGAGCAGCAGGCCACAGCTCCTGCCATCACGGGAGGGTGCCCCTAACACCACCTCGGAGCTCTCTGTACCACGTCTCACCGAGCTGGGGGGCTTCGTGAGATGCAGCTGGATAAACCTGACATTCGTCACCCCACATGTCACTCACCTCTCCCCAAATGCCCACGGTGTCTCGGATGTCATTTTTGCAGTAGGACAGCTGCCTGATGCAGTTGTTGACGGCAACACTGCTTTTCCCGGGGGCGAGGTCCTCCTCTGCCATCTCCACCCATCCCAGAGAGCGCACAGCAAAACACTGCAAGACAGAGAGGACAGGAAATGACCGGCCGGGTCACACTGCGGTCCCCAAGCAACTACAAGCTTACTTAGCATGTTCTAAATGCCTCACCGTGCCTCATCATTTGGAAAATCAAACTCTGACTTTCCCCAGTATTTAAAAAAAAAAAGAAAAAGGAATAGCGAGGGTCTTCTTGCTTGACTTGTGTGTTTGTGTTCAGATGTTTTCCTTAGGAAAGATCACCAGGAGAACAATTAGAGGCTCATGGGCACAGCAACGATAAGCTCTCATTACAAGGCGGTTTTTATTTATTTATTTTGAGACAGAGTCTTACTCTGTGACCCTGGGTAGAGTGCTATGGTATCATAGCTCATAGTAACCTCAAACTCGGGCTCAAGTGATCTCCCTACCCCACCCTCCACCTGAGTAGCTGGGACTACAGGCACCCACCACAACGCCCGGCTAGTTTTTCTATTTTTAGTAGAGATGGGGTCTCATTCTTGCTCAGCCTGGTCTTGAACTTCTGAGCTCAGGCCATCTACTCGCCTCAGCCTCCCAGAGGGCTAGGATTACAGACATGAGCCACCTAAGAAATGCAACCCCTGTGAGATCTGTTACTGTTAAGCACCTAGAAAAAGAAAGTAGGCGAATGAATTAAATGCACGTTAGGGATTTGTTTCTAATAACAATGAAGCAGAATGTTTCCTCTGAAGCCCAGAAAAGGAGGAGAACGGGGAGAAAACATGAACTTGTGTTAGAAACAGGCCTGAGGTCTGACAGCATTCACGATCAGCACCAAATCCTGACATACTCCAAGAACTGATGGACTTGTGTAACTTCAAAGCACAAACTCCATTTATTCTTTTCTCACCTGGAGATATTCTATTTGAGACCATACCCTTGTCTTCTTTTATAAAGTTCTGCTATTCAATTTTTTCCTTTAATTTAAAAAGCATTACATGCTTATTGTGACAAGCAAAAAAATCCAAAGAGGAAAAAGAAAACTCACAGCACACGGGAGGGTGATTTGGCCACAGCTTCTGTCCTGCTGTTAGTCACCAGGATGGCCACACTCCTCCCTGTGGCCCCAGAGACCTCCCTACATCATAGGGTCCCATCCAAGCTGCACCATCCATTGAGGAGACCCCCTTCCCCGGCCAGGAAGCACAGACGTGGAGCTGCAGGGCCTGGCGCGCCGACAGACTGTGGATTTCATAACAAAACGAGAAATGCAGCCGAGGTCCAGAGGGACGTTCAGTCCAGTTCACCCTTCCCTGGTCCAGCCGCTGTGACTAGCCTGAGTGCTCCCTCCTGAGGTGGTAATCACACTTTCTCACGAGGAAAAACCCACCAAAAATACCAAAGACAAAAATAACTCATTTAAGCCAACAGCACACCGACCCTCACATCCTAGAGACAA